GCCTCTCTCATCTTTTTAAGTGGGAGAGCTTGCACAATTGGTGGCTGACTAAATACTTTTTGCCCCACTGTATCCCTGAGCGACCACGTTCCTCATAGATGGCCAACTGCTCTTTACTTAGCGAAAGAGTGGTGGCAGGGAATGTCTGTGCAGTGCTGATGACCTCTTAGTAATGAGATACTTTCAAGTAAAATAATGAATTACAATCCCACTAATATGTTTTTTAAAATGGCATCAAGCTGCAGACATAAAAACAAGCATGTAGAGAGAATATTACTTACTTACTCAAGACAGCATGAATAAACAGGGACTTGGGGAAATAGTTTGTCCTTTTGAAATTCACATACCTTAATACTGGTCCTTTCTTCAAATTGGCACTAATACATTCTTTGCATTAAACATTTCAGGATCCAAATGGTTTCCAGATATCTGGTGCAGATATCTTCATTTTTGATTTGAGAAATTTGGCACTCCATTTCCACTGGCACTTCTAGTTGCCAAATTACTCCATCTCTTTTTACCTGTTTGTGTTTTGTCTAGTTCTGTTTGCAGCTATTTTTCACTAGGAATTGAGGCCAGGAAATGTGTACCTTTCTCACCCCAAGTCCATCCCTTGGCTGATGTCAGGTTAGGGGCCAAGTCTGACCTCCAGCTGTTGAATCACCATGCCTAAAAACCATCATTGGCTTCATGCATTACACAATTACACTTTGGAGCTGTGGCTTTTAAAAGGTGGCTGCTAGCTTAGACTCCGTAAACTCAAATAAGATGCCTTGAGACACTGCTCTTTTCAGCCTCGGGTTGCAAGATGTATGTCCAGTGACAACCTGACATAACCAGAATGGGCAGGGCCAAAACATTCAGACCATTTTTTGCAGTTCGGGGAAATTTCAAGTGGTAAAATTAGTGTTTTAAGTCTTGACCTTAGGGGCATGATGAGGGCTTTGTTGCTGACCTAGGCAGTAAACACATTATGTGGAATAGATTTTAACCAAATTAAGTAGAGAGGTATTTCTGATGCATAACATTACATTATTAACATGCATCTCCCTTTGAGCATTTCTAGAAATTCAGGTTTTTTTAAAAAAACAACAGCCACTGTTTCTGACAAAAAGATTATTTCTTTATTTTGCAGATACCTGGTAACAATGAGCACGTAAACTCTACTGTTTCTCAAAACAACTTGCCTGAAACTGCTGAGAGAAGCAATTTGGAGTTGAGCAATAGAGAAGAAAACTCTTTCCTTCCAAGTACATCATCCATTTCACCATTGTGTGAGGTTGCTCTTTTGAATGAGCAGTCAAATGTAGGAAATGATGTAGGTATTTTTCAGTTGGAAATTGCTAGATAATTAATAGTTATTACTGCTCTGTGTGAGAATGGGAGTGCTGAAGGAAAAAATGTGATTCTGCCCTTTTTTGCAGAACTGACTGGCAGAAATGTAACTTCTTATACAGCAGAGCAGTTTGAAATAGTATGTGTTCGCTTACAGTGTGACCTTTTACAAATATATTAGGCCTGTGTGAGGCAACTCTTTTGAGAAAACACTGTGTGCCATAGAAGCAATACAGTTCTCATCAAGGTGGTTTGTGCAGCTTCATGCCTCTTCTGGTGGATGGCCTGAAGAGGCTTCTCGGCATAATCAGCACATGGGGACAAGCCTCTTTTGGCTACTGGGACTGCTGGATGGAGAGTAAGGCAAAGTAGCATCTTTACTTCTAATTTTAGAAGCTGGTTTAGGTACATGGCTTTTTAAAGCAGCTTCAAAGTGGTGATTCACACAAATCTTCATCAAAGGAAAGCATTCCCTTGAAGCTTTGTACAGCCATAAAAACTGTACAAGACAGGTTAGAGAAAAATCATTATAACACAACAGGTAGAATTTCATCTAAAAACACCATGTGAAACTCGCAGTGCTTTGAAATAACAGCAGGGGACACCATACAGTAACATATATTAAAAGGACCTGCTTAAACAATACTGTCCTAATAGTCAGTGGTGAAGGGTTTAGATGCTTTTGTCTTGCAAAGCCATTGGCCACACCAGGAATTTGCTGTGTTTTCTGGCTGGATATAACAGGATAGAGGCAGACATTAAGCAGTAAAAACACTTTTTTCCTCTTCTAGCCAACTGCTTGCCTTGTTCTGCTGCACTGGCTGCTAGCTAAAAAGGTCCACAAAGGAGACCCAAGCCCACAGTTGCCCAGCATGTGTTAGCATCATGACTAAGATCAGCTCTGACAGGTCCTGGGCAGCCTTATGGGGAGGGATATTTCCTGAGGTATTCTGACCTCAAAATGGCCACCAAATGTTTTGCCTCTAGTGAAACTCAAAGCCAACTTCCATGTTTCTCTTCAGGAAAATTGTGATATTAGTAGCAAAATTTGTATCCTTCATATTTTGGAGTTAACTTTTCTCTGCCCTGCCCCTCTGTGTTTTAATGCAAGCCTCTGCCTTCACAACTGTGCTAAACCGTTGTTATTCTATGTAGTCAAAATGAGAATGGCCTGAGAGATGCCATAAGAAATGTAGCTTTGAGATATATAGTTAGAATGTAAGAAAACACTTTTGACCTTGACACCAGCCTCTGCATTATCTGCTTTTTTTGCCATCCTGTGCCCTTAACTGGGCTTTATAGAGCAACAGCGGCCTTTAAAGATTAATGCCCCCCAATATGATTTGATTGAGGAAAGGATATGGGTTTTGTGGAGTTGGTCTTATGCTTCCCAGAGTTTGTAGCAAGTATTGGTTATGTTCCTTTAGAATCAAAGTAAAACAGCTTAAACAAAGCAGAAACCTTGTGCTTCTGCCCAAAATGTCCTGGTAGAATGTTCTTCTATAGTTAATATTTTAAAACTGTCCTTTTCTGTTGCATTGCCCTGGCCCTAGCATCTTCTGCAACTCCCACTAAGGATTCCTTCAGAATTATCCAGAAGAGCGCAAACTAATTCCACACCATGCGTTACCTCACTTGGACAGGAGCAAGTGAAAAAAATACAAACATTTGAGAAGAACTTTCTTGCATCACACTCTTTCTCTGCATGGTTACCTGGAAAGACGCACCTATTTTCACATGCGCTCCTTTGCAATATGGGACTTGCATACCATCTTAGACCAGCTTCATAAAGCTTTCTTACGGGGTTCCAGAGAAATAGCCATATTAAAATTTTGCAGCAAAGAGGGTGAAGAGCCTTCTTAAAAGTTAACAAGTCTATCAGTAGCACTAATAACACTAATGTGGTTTTGATGTAGGCTTTCATGGCCAGTGTCAATCTAGTGGTGATGAGCTTCTAGCCTAACAGGCTGTGAGTTGATTATCTGATACCCTGACATTTTGCCAGCAACTGCGGCTGGCATTTTCAGAGGCAAAGTAATCTACTCTGTAGCGTACTTCTCATCGGCTCACAGGCCACTGAACAGGAACTGGAGCTCACTTTACGTCTAAAGATGCCAGTCACAGTTGCTAGCAAAATGTCAGGATACCAGATAATTAGACCAGAGCTTATTAGCCTTGAAGCTCCTCATTATAATGTGGTTTGTTTGCTTTTGACATAGTGTGTGATATGTGATTTGTACTACTTCTCTCTCCTTTTTTTTTTTTTAGTATCGTGCAGTTTTTTAAAAAAAACAATGGAATCATCTTATCTTGACCCATGTTCTCTCTGAAAGGTTCAAGTAGAATCTGAGAAATAGAAGGGTTGCTTAGAGTTTGTCAGGGGCACATTCTCCTTGGAATCCATCGAATAAATTTCAGTGTGTTTCTCTGATTATCTGTTTATCAGTAAAAAACAATGTTGCCTTGTGGAGTCAAATGTTATGCTTTTTATAATACTTTGAATTACAGCAGAAAATTATAGCATCCTTTTTGTTAATTCTTGCAGGTACTGAGATCTAACAAACTTGTAGTGATGATTAAAAATTCTTTTGAAGGTGAGTAGTTCAGATAATTGTTTTACAGGTTTATCATCCAACAAATCATATTGAACAACATTTGTATCTCAAGTGCAAAAGAATAATATATCATTAACAACTGATAATTAAATTAAATGTTCAGTTGTTAATTTAAATTAATCTCCTAAATTAAATAAATAGCAAAAGAAAGAACCCTTTGGAGCAAGTGTGTAAACAATGCGTTCATTGGACATCATATTAAGAGTGACATACTGATTCTGTTCTGAGTGTAAGGGGATACTTAGATGTCTCAATCATCTTCCCTCCCCGAATATTAATTCTATAACTTTTTGAAAATGTTTGTGCTATGGCTTGGATTCTCAGTTCTCATGAGTAGAACTCTGCTCACAGGATGTTCTCACTGTTGCATTTTTTACTCCCCTTATACTTCCCTTTGAAAAGCTGTTTTAGAGGGCTGGTGGGTCTTCCAGAACAGTGGGGACTGTTGTATGAGACTAAAGGAGGAAACTGAAATCTCTGTTTAGTTTATCTCTTTTTAGAGAACAGATCCTGATGATGATATAGAAAATAACATGAGGGCTGAATACCAAGAATTCTACATGTTTTGGAAGGAATGAGAGGAAAGGATCCAGAAAAGGCGGCCGAGGTCATTCCTTTTTTGCACTGAATGCCAGCCTCAGTTATTTTCTGCATCCTGTCTTGTATATGTGGAGATAAAGCAGTGGACTCACATGGTGCATTCTCTCATTTTTGCTGTGTAATGGAACCCTGTGTGGACCTGTGTGTGTGTGTGTGCGCGTGTGCGCGCAACATCTGCTCTTCTTGGGCACTAATCTTGGCCAAATTTCTGGTTGCAGATTCCTAACAACAATAGTGTTATTTTATAGCATTTGTTAATTGCAAATAATAATTGCAATTTAGGGTGGAAATTCACTTTAATAATCATATACAGTTTATTTTCATAAAGGTATTGACCTGAACTATATAATACCAAATAATAGTTAAATGTGAAAATATTTAGTTCTGGAAGACTACTTTAAGATCTGGAGGAATAACGGTTCTGTTAATTCTATAAGTTTGGACAAGGGTTTGGTATTTGGATAGCCCCTTCTTTGTCTTCTCTCTGGCTAGAAAAGATACTTTTACTCTAGTAAGCTTTTATCCCATCAGTAAGATTTTAAAAAAAAAATTTTTTACAATTTGTGATGGTAGGCAAATAATTATTTTAATTGTTGTAACCTACCTTAAATGGCTTGTGGGGGGGGAGGGGAGATTCTCATATATTTTAAAAAAAGAAGAATGTGTGCCTTTGAAAGTTAAATGCTCAGCAAAAGCAGCAAAAATCTAAACATACACATTGAAGAAAAATGTGAAGCTTGTCCCATGTCAGTAAACCTGAATTACAGTATACGTATATAACCATACTAATCATGTAAAATTCACTTTTTACAATCTAATGTATTTTTCTTGCATTGTAGGGTGGGAAGACATTTGTTTGCTGATAATGGACATGGTGGGAGAAACTTACTGGAATACACTTATGAGGAAGTGTGGCTTATCAGACAATGACATTGACAAAATAATCCATGATTATCCTCATATTAATGAACAGTATCATCAGATGTTAAAAACTTTGCGAGACAGGAATGGAACTGTTGATGCTTTAAATAAAATACTTGCTGGCCTGCAGGAAATGAAACTTAAAGGTATTTATGAAAATCTAGTAAATGAATTAAAAAGCAGAGGTATAGTAACAATGGTGGCCGAAGACTAATTTAGTTTTTGTTTATTTATTTTTAACTATGCAAAAACTGAGCTTGGACAATGTTTGGAAATCACAATCCCTTCTGTGATTCTTTAATGTCCTTATAAAAATGCTATTGTGACCAAAGTTCAGTGTAACATTCAAACATTTCATGCATTGCTAAATGTCTGAATGACAGCAGGATGAAGCTGGATTCATAGTTTGCTGCGGGTTCAGCATTCCAAATCTACTTTGCTGCACAAGTAAAATTTCAGTATCTAAAGCTGCTGAAATACAGAATCCAGTGGAGTAAGAAGAGATCTGTGTGTGCTTTTGCTAGTATTGTAGGAAATTACAAATAAATTGTGATATTTCATTTGTGGTATTTTATTTGGAAAAACCCTAAAGATGTACAATGTCGTGTTTTAAAAGATTTGTACCTTTTATACATATTTTCAAATAAAATACTTTTTCTTCTGATTCCTTCATTATGTCTATAAATGGGAAACTGGGCCAGGGAATAAAATGAAAAGGAAGTGGGGTGAGGAATAGTTTTGGATAGGTTGAATAGCACTTGTACATTTCTAAAAGCTTCACATAGTTTGGCTAGGAATATATACTTTGTGAAGCTATGGTTGAATAAACTGTAGTGAGCTGTCATCATTACTGGCTTGCTAATGTGAAAACAAACCAAGTTATTGCTTAGTGTAAAGCTTGTCTAATGTCACCTATTAAGTTTATTGCTAGGACACAATTTCATTCTTATACACTCAGCGCTGTACACTCTTAGTTTTTATCTTATTAATTTTGGAAGAAAATTATACTAGTTAGGAAAAATAGCAGCAACGGAAACTGTATATGGGATAGAATTGGGTGCAATTGTATCATTACACCAACAAATGTTCTGCCAGCAGAATAAATTATTATGCCTACTAATGCTCTGTGCACACTCCAAAACTATTCGGAAGGCTTGGGGGAACCCTCTGAATCAGATTTGAGAGGTGGTAGAAAGAATGAAAAATAGCACTGAATATGTGAAAAATGCTTGTTTAATGCTACTTACTAGATCCCAGAATGTAAAATCTCAATCATTAACTGTTCCTAGCGCTAACTTGTTTCAGTTCATTTTGGAACACAGCCAAACAATGGATATTTCTCATTAAAAAAAAAAGTATAAGGAAGCATCATGGCATAGTTCATAAAAACAAAAGCAGTGTTGTTCTATAAGAAAAAAAATCTACAGTCTGTTTTTAAAAGGTGCCTCCATTAGAAGTTAACTATTGGCAAAAGTCTACAGTAATTTTGTAGTGTTCCATGGTTTGTAATAAGGTTAATAATAGTTGCATGTTACATTCCATTGAAGAACTACGGGTGAGTTTCAGGAAAAATTGTCTGAGGGGAGAAGAAAGAAGTGATTGGGCAGTGAGAAGAATGATGGAAGGAATATTTTAATTTTAAAGATTTGTCTGGAAATGGTAGTGATATGTCAAAGAACATAATTGAAACAATTGCTATGTTAGTGTCTGAGAAAAAACTGATGAAAATCAAATCATAAATGGTATGAGAATGTTGAAAAATGATAGTATGTTTAGTAAAGATGGGAAAATGGAGGGGAAAATTTTAAGGTGCACAAATTCTGGTAGAAAAGTATTGCTAAGTGTTACAAGAAATGTGTGTCCAAAGCAAAAATATTGTGTGTTTCCGTCTGTTTTGCTATATGAAAGTAGAAGTTGGGGAGACTTCTAGTGAGGACATGGCAATTTAGACATTTCCAAAGACATCTCTATATTCTTTTCCTTCTATTTTTCTTTTCATGTTATTCTTTCTTTTTTCTGCACTTTCTACTTTTTTTTTCTTTTTCTTTTGTAGTTTGTATTAGTTTGTATTTGTATAACTGTAATAATACATTTATTGTTAAAAAAGGATTAAAGGGGAAAAAAGTGAGAGTTGGATACATCAGGAGAAACAAAGATGAGTGCTGGGGAATGGCATGCTTCTGTGTGTGTGTAAAACAAAGAGAGTCAAGAATGAATAGGTGCTGAGTGACCATGGGTTGAATACAAAGGTGAGCGACCAATATTAAAAAAAAATACACTGAGGTGGTTTGATCATATAGATCATAAAAAGGATAATGAAGAAAGTTGTGATTGAATAGAGCTGATGAGATCCTGAAAAAGAGGCAAGAAGGATGCAAAGACAGTTTTTAAGGATAGGAGGTAAGGAGAAGTACAACAACCAGTGCTGCAGTAAACTAGTGTTAGGATTCTTTTTCTTTTGCTCATCTCACGCCTTTAACTTCTGTGGTAAATTCTGTTAATGTTTCTCGCTCTTTTTCTATACTCAGCATGACTTGTAAAATGAAAGTGTGATGTGGTAATATGGATTTCAAAAGGCAGAGGGAGAAAAGGAGAAAAGCAACATTGTGTTCCAGGTTTAGCAAAACCAGGAATGTGATAAAATTTATGGGAAAAAGTTAGAGATTTAAATGGATCTGATTCTACTGGGACTACACAACACGTGGAAACAAAATAGCCAGCCACATTTTAGTCTAATGTAAACACAGCTTGTATGGTTAGCTTATGGTTCAGAGTGTCATACAAACCCATAACACTGGATTAATGAATAAATTGGGGTTTTTTTAATCAAACGTTTATGCCACCAATTTTATTCTGGGTCAGAATTATACTAACAAATATGGGTAGAGACCTTACAATATTTTGATTGGAATTCAGAAACATCAAGTGCCCAAATTTTTGAATGGGAAGCATATAAAGCATATATCCAAGGTCAAATTATTGATTATGCATCATACAAAAATAAGATTAAAAATAAAAGAATTTGAAAGATGAACTGAAACATTCATGGGTGCAAGTGGTTAGATGCCCATCTATGATTTTGGGCAGAGAAATACAGAAAAAGAAATATGAATTAACTACTATAATATCACAGCAGACAGAATTTATGCTAACATGTTTATGACAGAGATACTGAGAGTTGGTTTTACTGTGTTGCTGTTAACAGTTTCTGGGAGAAACAGTGAATGACCCGGTAAGATCTTGGCTAATCACTTAAAGTAAAAGAATGATAGGGCAATGATTCCCCTATTAGAGGTGAAAGAGATGAAATATATAAACTTCAATGGATATAAATTAACAATTTTTAAAATTTTATTCAGAATCATAGCAAACCAGAAAATGTATTGATGAAGATAATAGAGGCCTTTTAAAACAAAATTAACCCACCTTATTTAGATGATATACAAAAGCAACTTTTATTTGCTCCACTATCTGAGGTAGAGATTAAACAAATACTTTTAAAATTGGCAAGTGGTAAAACAAGGATTCCCTACTGAGTGGTATAAAACATTTATAGATCCTTTAGTGCAAAAACTTTGTCAAGTTTTTCAAATTTATGAAGAGATATTTGATAAGGGAAGTTTATCAGTGACATTTAATCAGGCTTCTATTGCAGTTATACCAAAAGCGGTAAAGAGCACACTCAGTGTGCTAATGTCATTGATTAACATTGATACAAAGATTGTTAGCAAATAGATTACAGCAAGTGATATCATTTGTTATTAAGAATGATCAAGCAGTGTTTATAAAAACTAGGCAAGCAGCAGACAACATTAGGTTAGTTGTAGATATAACAGACTTGAATTTAAAAAATCAATTTGTAATTTTATAATTAAATGCTGAAAAAGCTTTTGACAAAATATATAAACAATGCATGTTTGCTGTACTAAACAGGTTCAGATTTCCTTTGGAATTAAAAAATGGATCAAGATATTATATGATTCGGCCACATCCAAAGTAAAGGTTAATGGTGTGTTTTTTCCTACTTTCCCACTATTTAGAGGAACCAGACAAGGATGTCCACTTTCACCCTTGCTTTTTAATATCTGCATGGACCCCTTGGCTTGTGCTGTTAGACAACATAGGAGATCTATGGAGTAGTACATAACTCAGCTGAACACAAATTGGTTTTATTTGCACATGACATTTTTATTTCTAAACCTCACACTACTATTCCAGTGTTGATGCAAATGATATATGCCTTTAGTAAAATTTATTATCAATAGATCAATTTGATATGCAGATACTAAGAAATGAGTGGAATAAAGAATTAGAGGTTCCTATATTGCCTAGACCAGTGATTCTCAACCTTTTTGAAGGTGCCGCCCCCCTAAGGAGCGGAAAATTTTTCAACA